AAGAGTGGGAGTGGCTATTGCTCCATATAGGTGGAAGAGCATGGTGACTTGACCCATATAGAACAGCGAAGGTAGTAAGAATTGTGTGGCTCAGTGTACTTTTTTTTTTTTTTTTTTAAGAGGTTTTTGCTATAGGGCGCCTGCACTTGCCAGACAGAGAGAGACAGAAAGCAAGACATCACCCCCCCGGAGGATGGCCACGCCGCAATCCCCTCTCCTCCGTTCTCTCGGGATCTTGGGCACGCACGCACACGTGCCTGGCGTGAATTTTAAGCCACTGGGTCCAGGACGTGAACCGTGGTTGACTACGTGGGAGTCCAGCGACATAGCCATTACGCTAACTGCTGGTCTCGTTCAGTGTACTTTTGAAGATAGAACCTGTGAGACTTGCTGATAGGTTGGGCACAGGAGGAAATAAGAGTCAAGGATGACCAAGCCTTTAGGCCTGAAAGCCTGTGTTGATTGTAACACCATAGCCCAGATGAAGAAGGTGGGGTTGGCAGACCTGGCATGGGGAGGGAATCAGTTGTTAGACTTGAGAAATTTCTTGAATGGGCAAGGGAAGATGTCAAGAAGGTAATTGGATTTTGGAGTCTAGGTGGAAAGTCCATGTCAGGCACAAATGTGGTTATCATACAAATGATATTTAAAGACCTGAGACTAGAGATGGGAGTGCAAGAAAGGCCTCAGGACTAGAGGTGAAGAGGAATAATCAAATCTGAACTTTGAGGTCAAGCTTTGAAGCCTCCAGTAGTCTCATTTGGCTGATATAATGTTAATTCCGGACAAGCCAGTGATTTGGTGGTTAAGGCAGCTAGGTTTTACATGGCTAGCTGTTCTGTTGGAGCATGTATTTGTGTGTGTGTGTCTCCCAAATCCTAAGAGGGATACGGGGGGAAAAGCAATTGTGACATAGACATCCTCTCTGGGGGTGTTTTCTTACCCCATGTCTTTTGCAGGAGTGCATGTACCTTAAAGCAAAGTTTTTAAAAATGTTAAACCCTTATAGTACTCTGGAAGGCTACTTAGTATCTGGATAGGTGCCTCTCTTATCTCACCAGTCATCCATGTGGTCTCCTCATTCCTCCCAAATAGCAGGATGTGGGGCGTGGTCATGTTGCAATCCCTTCTTCCCTGTCTTCATCCTATTGGGATTTTGTGTATGCATGCACCACACCCAACATATTTTTCTTTAATTTTTTTTTTTAAAAGAATTATTTATCTAAGAATCAGCAGATGGTGTAGTGGTTACATTGCTGGATTCCCACATAGTGAACAGTGGTTTGACCTGGCAGCTTGAAATTCACGTTGGGTGTGCATGTGTGCCCAGAATCCCAGGAAAATAGAAGAGAGGGGATTGTGGCATGTCCCCCCCGTGGGAGGGTGATTTCTTTGCTTTCTGTCTCTTTGTCTCTCTCTGTCTATTAGGTGAGTGTAGTGCCCTATGGCAAAAATATCTCTCAAAAAATTTTAAAAAATAAATATTTATTTAATTTTATTATTGTTTTAATTTGAACATAAGGGATGCAGGGGAGGGGGAGTGAGGAAAGCAAGCCACCAGGTCCAGGACTCGAACTGTGATCAGCCATGTCAGAGTCCAGTGCCTTTAACCACCCTGCTAACTTTTATTTTTTTTTCTTTTTTTAAGATTTTTTTTTTTTTTTTTTTTTTTTTTTGGACCAGCAATTAGTGTAATGGCTATGTTGCTGAACTCCCATGTAGCCGACCACAATTCGAGTACCGGACCCGGTGGCGGGCATGTGTGCTTGCATGCCCAAGATCCCGAGAGGAGAATGGAGAAGGGATTGCAGCGTGGCCATCCCTCCTGAGGGGTGATTTCTCGCTTTCTGTCTCTCTGTCTGACGAGTGCATGCGCCCTATAGCAAAAACCTCTCAAAAAGAAAACCCCAAAAAACCAACCCCCTACACCTATGGAGATGTAGCTGGCTTTACTTGTCAGGTGCCTCTAGATCCTGCACACGAGGCAAACAGCATTTTGGGGCAAAGAGAACTGAGCTCCTTGAGTAAGGTTTAGCCCAACTGTAGGGAGTATCTTTAATAGCAGACTAAATCCTAGTCCCACAGCCTGGTGGGTAAGGGAGCTAAGTCCAATATGGTTGGCCCCATGCAGTTCATGGCTGCTGCCTGGGAGCTTGGAAAATATGTTGGCGGGGCCAGCAGGTGACATGGACTGGTGGCTTGCTTTCTTAGTCTGTCCCTCTCTGGTCAAATTAAAATAAAGAAATAAAGTTCAATGAAAAAAAATTTGGGGGGGGGGGAGGTTTTTGCTATAGGGCACGTGCACTTGCCAGAAAGACAGAGATAGAAAGCGAGAAATCACCCCCCAGGGGGGATGGCCACGCCACAGTCCCTTCTCCTCCATTCTCCTCTCGGGATCTTGGGCACGCACGCACGCGTGCCTGGCATGAGTTTTAAACCACCTGACCTGGGACTTGAACCGCGGTCAACTATGTGGGAGTCTTAACGACATAGCTATTATGCTAACTGCTGGTCCCATGGGGTTGATTGCTGATAGGTTAGGGTAAGATGTGATCCCTTTACAAGGGGTTAGCTTGAGATGCAAAATAGGCTTTGTTGTCCTAACATAGGGTAGATTGTGAATATAATTTTCCTGAGGTGTAGCATAATGTGTCATGTTGGGTTAACTTTCAGTTAAATACCTAATTTGATTTCAGGCTTTCTAACCATTTTTAAAATATGGAAATTTACTTATAGAAATCGAATTTAAGGGGCTGGCTTTTAGCCTAGTGATTAAGGGAGCCTGGATCCTTCATGACTAACCACAGTTCAAATCCCAGCTCTGGTGGCTTGAAAGACAGAGACAGAAATCAAGAAATCACTCCATGGGCATTTGGTTATGCTGCAATCCCTTCTCCATTCTCCTCTTGGAATTTTAGGCATGTATGCATGCATATGGCCTAGCATGTTTTAAGCTGCCAGATCCGGGACTCAAACCGCGGTTGACCACGTGGGAGTCTAGTACCTTAGCCACTACACTACCTGGTGGTCCCAAGACCTTGTCTTAAAAGGAAAATAAAAATGGAGAGGAAAAATTTTAAAAAGTTATTCACACAGCTAATCTCTTGCAGACTTACCAACAATTCCAGCTGCCAGAAGTTTAGGGTTTTTTTTGTTTTTTTGTTTTTGTTTTTTTTTTGAGAGGTTTTTGCTATAGGGGGCATGCACTTGCCGGACAGACAGAGACAGACAGAGAGATAGAAAGCGAGAAATCACCCCCCAGAGGGGATGGCCATGCTGCAATCCCTTCTCCTCCATTCTCCTCTCGGGATCTTGGGCACGCGTGCACACGCGCCCGGTGTGAGTTTTAAGCCACCGGGTCCGAGACTTGAACCGCGGTCAAATACGTGGGAGTCCAGCGACATAGCCATTATGCTAACTGCTGGTTCCAGCTGCCAGAAGTTTTGACATTAAGCCTTAAGTTTTCAAGTTGCCTAATTCTGACTAAAAATTTCTGTGAGCTCAAGTTAGAATTCAGCTCCAGGTTAGATTGAACTCAACTGTAGGGCATATCTTTTTTTTTTTTTTTTTTTTTTTTTTAGGGCATATCTTTAACAATAAAATAAGTCATAGCCTGGCGGTAAGGGAGGTGGATCCTACATGGCCGATCAGTGGTTCGAATGTTGACCTTGGTGGCTGGATATGTGTGCTTGATTACAACAGTGTGATCACACCTCACATGGGAGTGTGTGCTCTTTCTGGCAAGTACATGTGTCCTCTGGTTTATTTAAAAAAAAAAAAAAAAATGGCCAGCTGGGGTTGTGGTGGTTAAGGCAGCTTGATCTCACATAGCTAACTGCAGTTTGAGTTCTGGACTCAGTAGTTTGAAAGACATGCTGGGTGCATCTGTGTGCATGTCCAAAATCCCAAGAGAATGAAGGAGATGGGATTGCAGTGTGGCCATCCGCCTTGGGGGATGCTTTCTTACTTTTCCTATCTTTGTTTCTGTCTCAATGAGAACATGTGCCCTATAGAAAATTTATAAATAAATAAATAAAAACAGTAAATGAAGTCCTAATGTTGTAAGGACTCCGACAAGTAGATACCTCCACACACATATATTTATTCCTTTTTTTTTTTTTCCTGAACGAGGTTTTATAAATAAAAACAGTAAATGAAGTCCTAATGTTGTAAGGACTCCGACAAGTAGATACCTCCACACACATATATTTATTCCTTTTTTTTTTTTTCCTGAAAGAGGTTTTTGCTATAGGGCACGTGCGCTCACCTGAGAGAGAGAGAGAGTAAGAGAGAGTAAGAAAGAGTGAAAGAGAGAGTCAGAAAGCAAGAGATCACCTCCCAGGGGGGGAGACCATGCTGCAGTCTCTTCTCCATTCTCCTCTTGGGATTTTGGGCATGCACTCACACGTGCCTAGCATGAGTTTTAAGCCGCTGGGCTGGGACTCGACCTGTAGTCAACTATGTGGGAGTACAGTGATATAACCATTAGACCATCTGTTGGTCCCAACACACACATACATTTTAATTTTGGAAGATGTAATAGAAATTTTCAAGACATTCATGGCAAATGCATATTATGGAAAAACTGCATGGATTGAAGTTTTATTTGCTCCAAAATGAATTGTGCTTTAATTCTGTGTTCCATGAACTTTTTGAAGTCCCCTGTATATTTTGAATTTTTGATTACATGTATCTAAAAGGTAAATAGCAACATATTAGGTTCCTCATGTGTGCTGGTCATTGTGCTTAGCACCAAGAGTTTGTTATATGAAATCTTGTTTCGTTTGCTGTAGGGCACATGCACTCACTGAAGAGAGAGAGGGAGAGTTAGAAAATGAGAAGGGGCGGGACAACGACCGCACTACAGTCCCATTTCCTCCACTTTCCTCTTGGGATTTTGGGCACCCATGTATGGGCGTCTGGCATGTTTTTTCAAGCTACAGGGTCTGGGCCTCCAACCACACAATTGGCCTTGTGGGATCCAGCCACTTTAACCACCACTCCACCTGGCTGGCTCTATGAAATCTTTTTCACAAGTCTTGGGAAAATAGCTTCTTATTTTGCATATTAAAGAATGTGAACTCTTCTTGACTCTGACTGACTGCCTGCCTTCTCTCAGTGAACTGTATCTTCGCGAATTAGCCAATGCCTACCCTGGGTGGATAGGCAGAAGTTGATTAATGAATGAAGCCTAGAAAGGCTTTAAGAGTATTACCCAAATTCAGTAAACTAGTGCATGCAGAGCAGATTCTCTCAAATCTGGGTCAGCTCCAAAGCCTGTTCCTTTGACATTCTGCCAGACAGTCTCTGAATATTTCCTGAGATGCAGTTTGAAATGAAACTGAAAGTACGCATTTCAGTTCAAATGTACATTTTCATTTCATTGCAGCTTTACAACTCCTGAAGGCCCTAAGCCTCGTTCTAGATGTTCAGACTGGGCAAGTGCAGTTGAAGAAGATGAAATGAGGACCAGAGTTAACAAAGAAATAGCAAGGTATATGTTTTGGACAACTTTGAAGTATTATTCTGTGGTGTTTTCAGTTACATATTAAATTAGAGTGGTGGTTCTCAAATGTCCAGTCTGCAGCCCGGTAGCATCATTGTCTTCATTTCAGAAAGGCCTGAATGTGCCAGAAGTGTCTGTTATCTGGCTGTCTAAAAGGCTGGCGGAAGGATCATGGGGTGGTGAGAACCCATTGAGGGTACCTGTCTGTTTTGAAAAAAATAAAAATGAAAACAGACTGGGAGTTGATAGGTATGGGTAAAATGTTTTGAGTGGGTTTTTCAGTTTTTGCTGTAGAGGATGTGTGTTACCTGAGGGAAGCGTCTGAAAACTTGTTTGCATACAGAGCACAGTATTGGATAACTTTAGGTTGCTCTGTTGATCTCTCCCTTTCTGATGGAATCACCTGGGTAATTTGGCCTCCAAAAGGGCAAGCTGAGAATTTGGAGATGTCTTTTAGTCATACCAAAAACCAGCCTTTCTCATCTAGGGTACCGGGAACAATGAAGCCTCTCAGAAATGATTTGTGGGACTAGTTTCTCAGTCGTCACAGGGATGGCACATAACCAGTGCTGTTGTAGATACATAGATCAATTATTTTGTTACCTGCTGGTGGCCAGGTGGGATGCATTGGACACCACAGCAAATGAGGATTTTAGCTTTTGGAAGGAAACACAATGGTGCAAGACATTTTTGTTATTGTTTTTTAAGAATTATTTTTAGTGAAATTTTTAAAATTTATATATTTATTTTAATTTGACCAGAGAGGGACAGAGAGAGAGAGAGAGAGAGAAAGCCACAGGCCGCCAGGTCCAGGACATGAACAGTGGTCAGCCATGTGGGAGTCCAATGTCCTTAACCACCGTGCCACCTGCCAGCCTCAATGTTTTTTTTTTCTTTTGTTTACATGACATCTTTTAGATAGGTGCATGAATTACTGCTTGAGGAATTTCTTAGGCTCTTAGGCTCAAATGAAAGCTTCTTTTGATGTCATAGCATTTTTGCAAAGCCAGGTTTTTGGTTTTTTTTTTTAGATAGTGTGATAGAAAGCATAGACCTGAATTTCTTAGGGAATGAGGTTAAAGGGGTAGCATTTAGTTTCTGAGATTGGAGAACTGTGCAGTGCCAAACAAACAGATACACATGTCCTGTTAGGAAGTAATAGTGATCATTTAAAAATAAAAACTTTTTTCTCAGAGAGATTTTTGCTATAGTGTGCATACACTTGCTGGACAGAGAGCGAGAAATCACCCTCGGGGGGATAGCCACAGCATAATCCCTTCTCCTCTCAGGATCTTGGGCACACACACACCGGTGTGAGTTTAAAGGTTCTGGGTCTGCCGGCACTTGAATCATGGTTGGCTATGTGGGGGTCCAGTGACGTAACCATTACGCCATCTGCTGGTTCCAGAAATAAAAACTTAGGGGCTAGCAGGTGGCTTGGGGGTTAAGGACTCTGGAGTCCCACATGGCCAACTGTGATTCAAGTCCTCGACCTGGCAGTTTGCTTTCTTACTTTCTCTCTCTCAAACTAAGTAAATAAAGTTAAAAGAATTCTTTTAAAGATAAATAAATACTTTCCAGGACAGTAGGTGGCATGATACTTAAGGCACTAGATTCCCACATGGTTGAAAGGGGTTTGAAGCTGAGACTGGTGGTTTAAGCATCACACTGTGCACGTGTGTGTCCAAAATCCCAAGAAGAGAATGGGAGAGAAGGAATTGTAGTGTGGCCAATCCTCCTGGGGAGTGAGTTCACCCTTCTCTGGCTCTTCGGTGAGTACATGTGCCCTATGGCAAAAACCTAAAACATACAAACTTTTAATTTCCACTTAATACTTTTTTTTTTTTCCCCACCTTCAGAAGGCCATTGAGTTTTGGGAATGTAAGTTTTGATGTTTTTATCTCAGTCCTTAAACTGAAACTGTGAAGTAAGGGTTTCTTTTTGCCTATGGGATCTCTGTATTCCATAGGATGATGGGTCTGGGAGTTTCAAGGTAGAGTTTTCTCAATTGATCAGCTTTCAGCATAGGCTTTTATATGATCTGGACAAGTAACCTTTGTTTTATAAAATCATAATTAATTAAAGGAGGTTGATAATTAAGGAAGTAACATGTTCTTACCCAGACAGTGCTGCTCTGGAAGACTATTTCTGGTGGCTTTTAGCTCTAAAAGCATTAAGTGTGTTGGCTCAGCCTGGAGATACAGTCAGTGGCAAACTGAACTGCAGTGCTGGAAGCCATAAGGTTGACCATGGTTAGTCCCTAGGTTGGCCTGAAAATATGCCTGTGCAAGCCAAAGATCCTGAAGAGCTAGAGGGCTGGGGAAAAGGAATCTTGGTGTGATAAGACCCTGTTGAGGGTACTTCTCTCTCATTTTCTCTCTCTTACATGCATGTACTATCATGAGTAAAATAAATTTAAAAGGAAAAAATACAAGTATTAAATGTCAAGTTTATTTATTTATTTATTTTATTCATTCATTTATTTTTAGTTTGACCAGAGAGAGACACAGAGTGAGAGAGAGGGAAAGTGAGAAAGCAAGCTACCAAGTCCGGGACTTGAACCATCATTGGCCATATGGGAGTGTACAGCACCTTAACCACCACACCATCTGCTGGTCCCAAATTTCAAGTTTTTATACTCTTTTAAAAACAGCAATATTTATTTTGCTCTCAGGTATAAAAGAAAACTTCTCATAAATGACTTTGGAAGAGAGAGAAAATCATCATCGGGAAGGTAAATGCTGTGTAAAGTTTCTTTTCTATTTTGATAGACCTGCGACTTCTTAATAAAAATTGGAACTGAGAAATGCTGATTGTCCCAATAACATTTATTGATTAGTCTTTACTAATTTGAATTATCATCTGTTGTGTACTAAATTCCCATATATATAAAGATTCTGGACCATTGTTCTAAGATTAATGTAATTTGGAATCTGGAGGATGAGCATTTCATGATTACATTTCAATATTTTCTTGGCTCAGCTTATCAGTGCTTTTAATTGCAACACTTGTTCCATTTATCTTTCTCATTTTTTTTAGTTCTGATTCAAAGGAGTCTGTATCTGCAGTGCCAGCTGACTTAGAGACAGATGAAAGTGTCTTGATGAGAAGACAGAAGCAGATCAACTATGGAAAGAACACTATCGCCTATGACCGCTATATTAAAGAAGTCCCAAGGTGGTGTCTCATTGGCATGTCTTCTGAACAAGACACACATGCATTGCTGTTCTAATAAGTTGCCAAGATTAGATAGTAAATCTGATCCTGGGAATGACTGACACGTGTTAAGAACTAAGAACGATTTATTAGTGACTCTTAGGAGCTTAATGATTTAAATAAACAGTGGGTTGGCAACAGAAAAACCAAGGGCATGGAAATGTGAAAATCATTTTCATAATTTCACATTTTAGATAACGTTTCATTTCTCAGGACTCAGCAATCATACATGGACATATACATACGTAATACACACGTAAATTTTTTCCTCATGATAGAAAAAAATAAAGTTAAATAACTTCATTTTATTTATTTATTTATTTATTTTTGGAGAGGTTTTAGCTTTAGGGTGCATGCACTTGCCAGAAAGACAAGAGACAGAAACAGAAAGCGAGAAATCACCCCCTAGGGGGAGATGGTCACACCACAATCCCTGCTCTTCCATTCTACACGTGCCTAGCGTGAGTTTAAGCCACCGGGTCTGGGACTCAAACCACAGTTGACTACATGGGAGTCCAGTAACGTAGCTATTATACCATCTGCTGATCCCAAGTTAAATAACTTTATTAAGTTCAGGTTAAATATCTAATTAGAGAAAAACTGATGTCCTTTTTCTTGTGAGCAGCGTGCTCCTGTCTATCTTGCTTCCTTGAACATACAGACATAGGTATACAAAAAATATTTGAATTTTTATGAACTTTTTCGCAGGATTGAGGTTAAAATTTACTTTTCTAGAACATAGATTACAATAGAATAGTAAGATTCAAAAACTGGCTTTTGATACATTTTTTTTGCTTGTTTTATATAATCTTAGTCGATTTATAATTTCTTTTAATTAATGCTAAACTCAAATTTGGGTTAATCTTCAAACTAATGTGTAAATCTGATAGCATGTGTTAAAGTAACCTTGCTCTTTACTGTAGACACCTTCGACAACCTGGCATTCATCCCAAAACCCCCAACAAATTTAAGAAGTATAGTCGACGGTCATGGGACCAGCAAATCAAACTCTGGAAGGTGGCTCTGCATTTTTGGGATCCTCCAGCTGAAGAAGGATGTGATTTACAAGAAATGTATGTCTTACTGCATTCTTTTTTTTTTTAAGAATTTTGGTGGGGGACGGGGGTAGATGGTGTGGTGGTTAAGGGCACTGAACCCCAGAGAGTCCCAGACTCTGGCTTACTTTCTCACTTGCCCTTTCTCTGTCTCACTCTGTGCCTCTCTGGTCAAATTAAAATAAATAAAGTTAAATTAAAAAATCTTTTAACAAAAGAATTTTGGAAATTTAACTGTATTTATTATTGTTATTTATTTATTTATTTTTCAATTTGACCAGAGAAAGAGGAAAAATGAGAAAGTAAGCTGCCAGTTCTGAGACTTGAACTGCAGTCTGCCATGTGGGAGACCAGTGTCTTTAATAACCATGCCACCTGCTGGACCCCTTACTGCATTCTTGTTTTCTGTTTCTTTGGTTGGTACAGTGGCTAAAATAGAATATCACTTGTATGTTGGGTTATTATGATATTGAGTTCCCCTGGGAGTTTTCAGAGTGTAGAGTGGCTAACTGTCAGAGCCTCCTGTCAGCTTTCTCTGCATAGAAAACTAGACAGGGGGACCAGCAGTTGGCATAATGGCTATGTCACTGGACTCCCATGTAGCCAACCATGGTTCAAATCCTGGATATGGTGACTTAAACTCACAGTGGGCGTGTATGTGCACGTGCCCAAGATCCTGAGAGGAGACTGGAGGAGAAGGGATTGCAGCATGACCATCCCCCCCTGGGGGTGATTTCTCGCTTTCTGTCTCTGTCTTTCTGGCAAATGCATGCGCCCTATAGCAAAAACCTCTCAAAAGGGGGGGGTGGGCAAAAAATTAAAAAAAAGAAAACTAGGTAGGATGGGGTTAGAGGGGGAGGAGTTTGCTTCCTGGGACTAAATTTACTTTTTTTTCTTCCTCAGTTTAGCTATAGTGTACGTGTGTTCACGAATAAAAATAAAATAAATCTTTTTTTTTTTTTTTTTGGAGAGGTTTTTGCTATAGGGCGCATGCGCTCGCCAGACAGAGAGAAACATAGAGACAGAAAGTGAGAAATCACCCCCCAGAGGGGCTGGTCACGCTGCAATCCCTTCTCCATTCTCCTCTCGGGATCTTGGGCATGCATGCACACGCGCCTGGCGTGAGTTTTAAGCCACCGGGTCCAGGACGTGAACCGTGGTCAACTACGTGGGAGTCCAGCAACATAGCCATTACGCTAACTGCTGGTTCCCCCCCCCCCCCAAAAAAAAAAATCTTAAAAAAAAGAAAAGAGAGAGACAGTAACCAATCCTAAAGTATTTGAGTCATTTTTGTAGAACTGTGAGAAAGGTCTTATTTTAATTAAAGAGTGCTTTTATAACCCCCCCCTTTTTTTTTTTTAAATAGTTTGCTATAAAGTTTGTGTGTTTGCTGGAGAGATAAAGAGAAAGGGAAAGTGAAAAAGCACTCCGCAGGGAGGACAGCCACACCGTAATCCCTTATCCTCCATTCTCCTCTCAGGGTTTTGGTTTACACATACCTGCTCTTGGCATGTTTTTTTAAAGCCTCCAGGACTGGAACTCAAACTGCGTAGTCAGCCATGTGGGGTCCAGCCACCTTAACCTCTACACCACCTACTGGCCCATTGACTTTTAAATGTGTACGTAATTGAAAATATTCCGGGCCTGAACTTTTACTCTCTGACCCAAATAGAGAGTGGACTTATGCTTGCCCCCCTCTGTGGTATTTCTTCTCTGCTCCCCTCTGGTACTGAGCCCCTCTTTACCACAGAGAAAAGTTTATTCACCAAAAATTATACTTAAAAATTAAAAAAATTGGCAGGTGGCGTGGTAGTTAAGGCATTGGACTGCCACAGGTCTACTGAGGCTCAAGTCCCAGATCTGGCAGCTTGCTCTCCCATTCTCCCCTTTTCTCTCTTTCTCTAGTCAAACCAGAGAATAACAATAAATAAATAAAATTAAAGAAAATGGCATTGTCTTTAAAAAAGAAAAAATACAAAATTGGGACCAGCAGATGGTGAAATTATGTCACTGGACTTCTACGTAGTCGACCAGATTCAAGTCCTGGACCAGTGGCTTATACAGGCATGTGTGTGTGTGCGTGCACGCACACGCGCACACATGCCCAAAATCCTGAGAGAAGAATGGAGGGGAAGGGATTACAGCATGGCCATCCCCACTGGGGGGTGGTTTCTTACTGTCTCTCTCTTTTTCTCTGTCTCTCTGGCGAGTGCATGTGCCCTATAGCAAAAATTTCTCTAAAAAAAATTTTTTTTTATTTTATTATTATTGGGGACCAGCAGATGGTGTAGTGGTTGGGATGCTGGACATTCCCACATGACCAACCATGGTTCGAGTCCCGGACCTGGTGGCTTGCTTTGTTTCTTTCTTCTTTCTCTCTTTTTGTGTGTCTCTCTGGTCAAACTAAAATAAAAATGAATAAATAAATAATTCTTTTAAAAAATGTATTATTATTTTTAAATATGCCGTAGGGCAATTGCACTCACTAGAGAAAGAGAAAGTGAGAAAGCAAGCTGCCAAGTCTGGAACTCAAACCACGATCAGCCTCATTGGAGTTCAGTGCCTCAACCGCTACTCTACCTGCTGGCCTTCATCAAAAGATATTTTGAGTTTCTTCTTTGTGCTGGGAAATATATTAAAAATGGATATGTTTAAAAAGATTTCAGGGGGGGGCCAGCAGGTGGAGTGGAGATTAAGGCAGCTGGATTCCTCACGATTGACTGTTCGATTTGAGTCCCTGGCCTGGTGGCTTGAAAATCATGCTGGGGGTGTGTATATGGGTGCCCAAAATCCTAAGAGGAGGACAGAGAAGGGATTGCAGCCTGGCCATTCCCCTCTGAGGGGTGGTTTCTCACTTTTCTCTTTCTCTCTGGCAAGCACAGGTGCGCTATAGCAAAAACTTAAGGAGAAAAAAAAGTTGGGACCAGCAGTTGGCGTAATGGCTATGTTGCTGGACTCCCATGTAGTCGACCGTGGTTTGAGTCCTGGACCTGGTAGCTTCAACTCATACTGTGCTTATGTGCGTGTATGTGTGCGCCCAGAATCCTGAGAAGAGAATGGAGGAGAAAGGGATTGCAGTATGGCCATCCCCCCCTGGGGGGTGATTTCTTACTTTCTGTCTCCTTGTCTGTCTCTGTCTTTCTGGCGAGCACACGTGCCCTATAGCAAAAACCCAAGAGAATGGAAGAGAAGGGATTGTGGCATGGCCATCCCCACTGGGGTGTGATTTCTGCCTTTCTGTCTCTCTGCCTCTCTGATGAGTGCATGTGCCCTGTAATGAAAGTCTCTTAAAAAAGAAAGTTGAGGCCAGCAGGTGGTATGGTGGTTAAGGGCACTGGACTCGCATATGACTGACTGCAGTTGGAGTCCCAGACCTGGTGGCTTGCTTTTTTGCTCCCCTCTTCCCCCCATCCCTCTCTGGTCACATTAAAATGAGTAAGTAAATACATTTAAATACAATATATTTTTTAAAAAAAAGTTGATGAAAACGTATAGTATAGTTTCTTTCAGTGTTCATTCCCCCTCTTCTGAAAATTGGTCTTGTTATTACTGCTTTTTGATGAGGATTCTTGTGGGTGTGTAAATAATCTCAGCTGTCAGGAATGGGTTGATTTGTGGTGTGCTGTGAGCTAGGTAGATCTTTTCATTTGTGTAATTGTCAACTTTCTATGGATTGATGAGGCAAGGTTTGAGTATGACAAATTGGAAGTCACTGAAAACTGGCCTTTCAGGAGTCTTCATTAAGGGCACTGTCAGTTTCTTGTGGCAGCACCTTGTGGGGTTTGTTTTTAGTGGACAGATTTGAGCACTGTGTCTCCTGCTTTGTTAAGCTTGTGACTGACAATGCTTGTTGGATTTCATTTCACAGACACCCTGTAGACCTCGGGGAAATGGAAACCGAGTCTGCAGAAAGCAGCTCCGAGTCCCAGACAAGCTCACAGGATAACTTTGTAAGTATTTCCTTTGAATTTTTCAGGTTTCTTGTTTCAGGAGAATTGTTGACAATATTGTCTGCTTTAGAAACTGAAATTTGAGTTGAAGTTTAAATCTTGTACTTTTTTAAAATAACAATTATTTTATATATTTTTTAATTTGACCAAGAGGGACAGAGAGATAGAAAGCCACCAGGTCCAGGACTTGAACTGCAGTCAGCCATGTGGGAGTCTAGCTCCCTTAATCACTATACCACCTGCTGGCCCCTGAATCTGATACTACTTACCATATTTCCACCATTGAAATATCAGACTTGGTCTTTTCTTTTTCTTTTTGTTTTTTTAAGAGAGATTTTGGCTACAAGGGTGTGTGTGCTCCCTGGAGAGAGAGAGAGAGCAACGGAGAGAGAGAGAAAGTGAGAAATTACTCCCTGGGGGGAATAGTCACAGCACAATCCTTTCTCCATTCTTTTGGGAATTTTGGGCATGTATGCACTTGGACCTGGCATGAGTTTCAAGACACTGGGTCTAGGATTTAAACTGCAGTTGGCCATGTGGAAGTTCAGCACCTTAACTACTACACCATCTGCTGCCCTCCACAATTGATCTTAAGATTGAGTTCTGGAGCCAGCAGATGGTGTTGTGGTTAAGGTGCTGGACTTCCACATGGCTGACTGTGGTCTGAGTTCCCAATCTGGTGGCTTGCTTTTTCTCACTTTCCCTTCCTCCCTCTCTGTCTCTCCAGTCAAATCAAAAAGTAATGATGTCGGGACCAGCAGTTGGCATAATGGCTATATCACTGGGCTCCCATGTAGTCGACTATAGTTTGAGTCCTGGACTCGGAGGCTTAAACTCATCCCGGGCACGTGTGTGAATGCCCAAGATCCCAAGAGGAGAAAGGAGGAGAAGGGATTGTGGCATGGCCATTGCCCCGTGGGCTAATTTCTTGCTTTCTGTCTGTCTCTTTCTGGTGAGAGCATGCACCCTATAGCAAAAACCTTTCCATAATAATAATAATGATGATAATAAAGTCAAATAAATAACTCCTTAAAAAAATTGTGTTCTGGGGACTAGCAGTTAGTGTAATGACTACGCTGGACTCCTACGTAGTCAACCGCAGTTTGAGTCCCAGACCCGGTGGCTTAAACTCATTCTGGGCATGTGTGGATGCGTGCCCAAGATCACGAGAGGAGAATGGAGGAGAAGGGATTGCGACATGGCCATTGCCCCTGGGGGGTGATTTCTTGCTTCCTGTCTCTGGCGAGCGCTCGCGCCCTATAACAAAAACCTCTCCAAAAAAAAAAGAAAAAAATTTTCCTCTGTCTCTGTGTGTGTGTGTCTCTCTCTCTGGTCTAATTAAAGTAAAAGAATGAATAAATAAAAATTAAATAAATAATTATATTTTTTAGAAAAAGAAAAAAATTTTAAAAAATTATGTTCTTAGGTTTTTGTCTAAATATAGGTTTCTTGGTTCTTTCTACCTAATCAGTTCCATCATTTCCATTTGAAAGTAAATGGTCTAGGCCAGCAGGTGGCTTGGTGGTTGAGGGAGGTAGACTCCCACATGGCCACTTGTGGTTCAAGTCCTGGACCTGGTGGCTTGCTTTCTTGCTTTCTCTCTCTCTCTTGCTCTGTCCCTCTCTGGTCAAATAAAAATAAAAATAAATGAATAAATAAATAAAATAAAACTTTTTTTTTTCTTAAAGAATTGTTTATTCAATTTTATTTGTTGATTCTTTTAATTTGACCAGAGAGAGAGAGAGAGAGAGCGAGCATAGGAAAAGTGGGAAAGCAAGCCGCCAGATGCGGGACTCAAACCACAGTCAGCCATGTGGGAGTGTCCAGCACCTTAACCACCACGCCACTTGCTGGTCCCCAATAAAATCTTTAAAAAAGAACAAAGAAAGCAAATGGCCTTGGGACTAGCAGATATCTTAATGGTTACATAGAATGTGGTTTGAGTCCTAGACTTGGTGGCTTGAAATTCACAGCAGGCACGTGTGTGTGTGTGTGTGTGTGTGTGTGTGTGTGTGTGTCCAGAATCTTGGTAGGTGATTTTGTGGTTTTGTTTTGGTTTTTTTTTTGGGAGAGATTTTTGCTATAGGGCGCGTGCACTCGCCAGACAGACAGAGACATAGAGACAGAAAGCAAGAAATCACCCCCCGGGGGGATGGTCATGCCGCAATCCCTTCTCCTCTATTCTTCTCTCGGGATCTTGGGCACGCACGCACACGTGCCCAGCATGAGTTTTAAGCCACTGGGTCCGGGACGCGAACAGCGGTCGACTACGTGGGAGTCCAGCGACATAGCCATTACGCTAACTGCTGGTTCCTGGTAGGTGATTTCTTGCGTTCTGTCTTTCTGTGTGTCTCCAGTGAGCACCCTACAGCAAAAATCTCTCTCAAAAAAAAAAAAAATCTAATGGCCCTTTTCATCTTTTATTTTTTTTAAGATACAGTTCTTATTTTTTAAATTTATTTATTCATTCATTTATTTTAATTTGACTAGAAAACGAGAGAGAGATACAGAGAGAGACAGGAAAGTGAGAAAGCAAGCCACCAGGTCTGGGATTTGAACCATGGTCAGCCATGTGGGAGTGTCCAGCACCTTAACCACCCTGCTACCTGCTGGTCCCCTCCATCTTTTTAAGAGACAGATTTTTGCAATAGGGTGTGTGCACTTGCTGGAGAGACAAACGGAAAGCGAGAAATCACCCCCTGGTGGGGGGTGACCACACGACAGTCCCTTCTCATTCTCGGGTTCTGAGCGTGCATGCACACTTGCACGGCATAAATTTTAAGCTGCCAGGTCTGGGACTTGAACTGTGGTCAACCATGTGGGAGTCCAGTGACGTAACTATGATGTCATCTGCTGGTCCCTGCCTTTCCTATCTGAATGCAGTGTCTACAATATGTATGCATTGTCATTAGCACTGAGTTGTAGCAATATACAGTTTGTGCTAGTGAATTGCTAGCATAGTAATCATCAGTTAACTGTTATTAAATAAGGGAAAGCTATTTGGCTAGATTTCCCTGCATTTGCCAATTTTAAGACTATATATTTTTTTTTTTTTGAGAAAAAATTAAAAAACCCTGAAAGATTAAAAGCAGTATATAGGCATCAGCTAGTGGTGGCCAAATCCCACACGGCTGATTGTGTGGCTGACACAGTGGCTTGAAAGACAGGCAGGATGCATGTGTGCGTGCGCCCAAAATCCCAAGAGGAGAATGGAAGACAGGATTGCAGCATGGCTATCCTCACTGGGGGATCCTTTCTTACTTTCCCTCTCTCACTTTGGAGAACATACATACCCTCTAGCAAATTAAAGATAGATGGATGAATGCATGTAGTGTGCAGGGCTGGCATCCATAGCATAAAGGTTAAGTGCAGTAGTTTGGGTGCTGGATCCCACTTGACTGATTATGGTTCAAGTCCTGGCCCTGGTGAATTAAGAAACACACTGGGCTTGTATGTGAGCCCCAAATCCCAGTGGGATGGAGAATTGGAGGAAAGAGGGTTGAGGTGTGACTATGTCTTTCTGGGAGGATATTGTTGCAGGACAACTTCTGTGACGATGTCCAGATTTTTGGTGGTTTGGACAACAAATTGAATGAATCATGCCAATTGCAAAAGGAAAGGGTAGTTTATTAAGTAAAAGCAAAAGTACACACCTAGGTGCTAGCGTGTGTGACAGAGACATACCCAAAAGACCCCAGCAGTTACATTCTGTGAAGGTTATGTAATACTGGATTGTCGGAAAAGTCTTGATGCATTTTTGCATAGAAAAGCACATCATGACTTTTCTGATGACCCAGTAATTTAATGTAGGCAGTGTCGGTTGAACTTGATTTTTTTTTTTTTTTAAATATATCTACTGATTGCTTTCATTTCATTGGCTCTATCAAATGTGGCTGGGCCCCACTGATTTCCTCTCATTTGCTATATCAAATGTGTTCTAATCAGCTCGACATCCCATACTGGAAATTTCCTGCCTACATTACTTTGGTCTGGGAATCCTGCTAGCATGGGAAAATGGAGGAAAAGGCATTGTGGGCATTGTGGCATCCCATGAGGGGTACTTTTTTTCTCTCACAACTGTACACATCTTCTGGCAGTTAATTCTTTTTCTTTTCTTTTTTTTTTTTTTTTAAGAATTATTTTATTTAACTTTCTTTCCTTCCTTCCTTTCTTCTTTATTTGACCAGAGAGGAACAGAGTGTGGGGATGAGAACGCAAGCCACCAGATTCAGGACTTGAACCGTGATTGGCCATGTGGAAGTCCAGTGCCCTTAGCTACCATGCCACCTACCGGCCCTTTAATTGGTATATGAGCTTCGGGGCTAGCCCATGCCTGGTGGTTAAGTGAGTGAACCATGTAGTTTGAGTCGGAGACGTGGCTTGACAAATACACAGCACATGTGAATGTGTGCCCAGAATTCCAAAAGGAGAAAGAAATGGAGAAAAGTTTGCAGCATGACCATTTCCAAGGGAGTGCTTTCTCCCTCTCCTGTCTCTGTGTATCTCTGGTGAGCACATGCTCTCTTGCAAATTAATATTTTTAAAAAAATAAGGTTTCAAATTAGTTTTAATTCCCTAATTTGTAAAATCTAACATTTCATTGTATGATCTTTCAATTAAATCTTTTAAATTAAAGAAGCACAACATGTTCATTAAAACAACCTAGAAATAACTTAAACACCGTCCTTTTCTGTCTTGAGATGGCCATTATTATTAGTCATAGTTTTGTCTAGCCTTTTAGGATTCTTTTTGTGCTGGTAAAACATGTGCACATATGAAATTTGTAATTTACAGTGTCTTGTAAATAGTACGTGTGGTCCCTCTTTGTAGTGTCAGTATTAGAATCCATCCCAGTTGGAAGTGGAAGATACATCTTGTTCATTATCTCAGGTGATTCCCTTAAGTGGAGGGATAGGGAGTACCTGTGTTTTCAGGGGTGCTTTTTATCCATGATTTTTTTTCCCCTGTAGGGTGTGTGCGCTCACCAGAGACCGATGGAGGAGGAGAAAGTGCCCTCCCCCCATGGGGCATGGCCACTCCTCAGTCCCTTCTCCATTTCTCCATCCTGTTGGGATTTTAGGCATGGATGTACAAACTCTCAGTGTGTTTTTCAAGCTGCCTGAGCTGGGATTTGAACTGGTTAGCCATGCAGAATCCAGCTCTCTTACTCACTTAGACTGACCTTCCATGAATTTTAATTAGCTAATTACTTTGGATTCTCAGTTGTGTATTTCTACATTCATGTGACCTTCACTGGTAATAATTGACCTGTCAGGACCAGCAGGTAAACAGGGTGGTTGAAGCACTAGACTCCCATGTGACTGACCGCAGTTTGAGTCCCAGACCCGGCGGCTTGCTTTCTTACTTTCCTCCTCTCTCTGTCTCTCTAGTGAGCATGTGTGCCCTGTAGCAAAATTTTAAAAATATTAATAATGATAAATTAAATAATTCTATTTTTTGGGGGGGGAGGTTTGCTATAGGGTGCATGCGCTTGCCAGACGGACAGAGAGACAGAAAGCGAGAAATCACCCCCCAGGGGGGATGGCCATGCCACAATCCCCTCTCCTCCATTCTCTCGGGATCTTGGGCACGCACGCACATGCGCCTGGCGTGAGTTTTAAGCCACCGGGTCCAGGATGCAAACCGCGGTCAACTACGTGGGAGTCCAGCGACATAGCCATTATGCTAACTGCTGTTCCAAATAAGTAATTCTTAAAAAATTTTTTTTTGGTCTGCCTTGGTCTTAGGCACAGGAACCTACCCTTGATAACAGACTTGTGCTTAGAGTCACTGACAGCATCCTGTGTGTCTGATGAATATAGACATGACCTATGCTTCTGTTTTCTAGGATGTGTACTCTGGTACCCCCACCAAAGTCAGACATGTGGACTGCCAAGTGGAGGATGAGTTTGATTTGGAAGCTTGTTTAACTGAACCCTTGAAAGACTTCTCGGCCATGAGCTAACTGTGCCACCTGGTGGCCACCAAGGAAAACAGTTGCCTCTGGCTAGGTGAAAGGCTGACCAAGCGCCAAGCATGTGTTGTGCATTTGTACCTGGATGGTTTCTCTGTTAATATCTTATTATTTTATGATAAATTGTTATTCTTGCCTTATTTTCTTAAGAGACAATTTTATGTATAGGAGTGTGTTTTGCATGTTTTAAATTGTAAATGGAGCAAAATCCACAGAATATTGATCTTGAAGCAGCGTTCAACAAACTTAATTGTTTAATCCCTGCCACCCTCCAAGTTAAACTGACAAGTATACTTTAGCTGGTTTTCCACAAGTACTCAGTCATCGAATTTCCACCTGTCAGATGGGATGGTGTTAGATTTAACCACATATTCGTGGGACCAGTCTAAGGTCAGATTTTCTTATAAGTATCTGACAAGATATTCAGTCAGATACTTTATATTAATATAAAGTCTTTAATATTTTTATGGAAACTTAATTTTGGCCTCTTACTAATGTGTGAGATGGGGTTTTTTCCTCATACAGAATACTGGATAGTCAAAAATGTTACATTGAGCTGTTAAATTAATGGTTTTTAGGTGAGTTGCACTGTCTTAATTCGGTACTTGTAAATAGTACTAGATAGGCTCTTTACTTATAATACTCCAAGAGTTAAGGAAGCAGAGATTTGGAAAGAATTTTTTTTTTTAATCAGTTAATTTACCATGTATAATTGCTGTAAATGATAATGTGTACAGATTTTTCAGTTCAGATATTCAATTGTAAACTTCTTGTTAAGACTTATGTTTCTATTGCTTTTGTATGGAATGATATTGCGAAAATAAAAATAAAAGAACCTTCTTTAACTGGTACATGACATTGCCAGATAGGTTCTCTGTCCACTGTGTCTGGAGGGCCAAATCAGCACCTGTCTTCCTCATGTCTAAAGCACACTCCTGTGACACTCTAGTGCAACACACAGTGGTGAGAGAACACCGTGACCAGTGCCCATGAGTGGTTGCTGAGTGCCAGGGACTGCTCTGGGCCCTGTGTGTTCTGCCTGGGCAAGGGGACCTTGTTGATAAGTGAGGAGCTGACATGGGGTCCTGATCATGACCGTCCAGAGTCTGCCACATCCAGTGTGTGCCTGGCAGACCAAACCGAGAAAGCCAGAGAGCTAAACCTGATGCCCATTCATCAGCAACTGGTGACAGTGTCCTTTTCTGTCTAAAAGAAGCCTTGAGCTTTGAAGAGACTGCAAGTGAGGGCTGGTGCAAAGGTAAGGAGGACAGGAATTTGGAGTACCGTGGGTCCTTGTTACGTAGCAAGTTCCGTGACCGCTACCTCCATGATGGTGGAAATAGAGGAGTCTAATGAATTGGATGCTCTAGCTAAGACTATTATTTTTTAAAAATTTGCTGGAGGTGTGTGCACTTGCCAGAGAAAGAGTCCCCCACAGGATATGATCACACTTTAATGCCTTCTCCATCCCATCGGGATTTGGGCGTTAAAGTGGGCACACACACAAATGGCACCTAGCGTGTTTTTCAAGCCACTGGGTCTGAGACTCG